TGTTGGGTTAGGTGTGGCTCTATTGTTGGGTTAGGTGTGGCTCTATTGTTAGGTTGGGTGTGGCTCTGTTGTTGGGTTAGGTGGCTCTATTGTTAGGTTAGGTGTGGCTCTGTTGGGTTGGTGTGGCTCTATTGTTAGGTTAGGTGTGGCCTCTATTGTTAGGTTAGGTGTGGCTCTATTGTTAGGTTAGGTGTGGCTCTGTTGTTGAGGTTAGGTGTGGCTCTATTGTTAGGTTAGGTGTGGCTCTTTGTCACTATCACCTCCTCCACTGCTCCCTCCTCGATGCTTCAGAAAAAATGGTGCTAATTTTTAAGTGACAATAATGATAGTGGTGTCGTGTGGTGTCGTGTCGTGTGGTGTGATGGGTGATGGTGTTTGTGGTGTGAGCATAGTGACAGGTCTTCAAGCATGAGAGATGGTGGTATAAATTCATTACTTATGGACTAAGGTGGCAGTGTATTGTGTGTGTGTGTGTGTGTGTGTGTGTGTGTGTGTGTGTGTGTGTGTGTGTGTGTGTGAAAGGAAAGCATCTGAAACATTTTATTGGCATAGTGAGTGAACACGGACATAACCCCCCTCCTGCTGCACCTCACCCCACCCCAGACCTGCTTACCTTGACCCAGGAATTCCACCGACCTTGTATACAAAATGAACCTTTGGCTGTGAAGAAAAGAAATGAATCCTGAGCTTGGGTTTTTGATCTGTGCTTCCGTGACTGACTGTCTTGCTGTCGTAACCTACCTTAATGGAGAAAGGATCTTTCATAACTTTACCTCTGTCGTGACGAGAAGCTGGTTGGTCTGACCTTGGCGTGTAAGGGGTTGGGGTGGGTGTGTACGTAGGAATAAGGGTGTGGGGATGGGCTTGGGTGTACGTGGGGTGTGGGGGTATCCGTGGGGGAGGGGTGTGTGTAGAGAAGGGGTAGGGTGGGGGGGGGGGGGATACATGTCGTTGTTGGTTGGTTTCCACACAACACTAAAAAAAAAACATAAATTCAACATAAGTAATACATTTTACACTCATCTCCAGCCTTTAGCCAATCATAAAACAGGATTCTCTTGGTGCTTCATTTTTAACCAATCGTCATGCAGTATACGCTCATTTTGACCAATCACCGTGCAGGATTCTCGAGTACATTCCGGTAACATTGACTAGATTCAACCTTGATACGGTCGACCTGTCTTTAACACCTACCTTCACGTGATACCTTTATGAGACCTAATTATCGCGTTGTTTGACCTTATTTTGATCTTATTTGACCTTATTTTTACGTTGTTTGACCTTACCTTCCCATAACGCGACCTTAGCCTCACAGTACACGACCTTAGCCTCAGTACACGACCTTAGCCTCACAGTACACGACCTTAGCCTCACAGTACACGACCTTAGCCTCAGTACACGACCTTAGCCTCAGTACACGACCTTAGCCTCACGCACACGACCTTAGCCTCAGCACACGACGCCTCAGCACACGACCTTGCCTCAGCACACGACCTTAGCCTCAGTACACGACCTTAGCCTCAGTACACGACCTTAACCTCACAGTACACGACCTTAGCCTCAGCACACGACCTTAACCTCACAGTACACGACTTAGCCTCAGCACACGACCTTAGCCCTCAGTACGACCTTAGCCTCAGTACACGACCTTAGCCTCAGTACACGACCTTAGCCTCAGTACACGACCTTAGCCTCACAGTACACGACCTTAGCCTCCAGTACACGACCTTAGCCTCAGCACGACCTTAGCCTCAGTACACGACCTTAGCCTCAGCACACGACCTTAGCCTCAGCACACGACCTTAGCCTCAGCACGACCTTAGCCTCACAGTACACGACCTTGCCTCAGCACACGACCTTGGCCTCAGCACACGACCTTAGCCTCAGCACACGACCTTAGCCTCACAGCACACGACCTTAGCCTCACAGTACGACCTTAGCCTCACGTTACGTAACGACACAAGTGTATCACCACCATGATCTTGTTCTACCCTTGAGCACAAAGTTTCAATTATATCCACTCACGCGTTCCTGTGTGTGTGTGTGTGTGTGTGTGTGTGTATGTGTGTGTGTGTGTGTGTGTGTGTGTGTGTGTGTGTGTGTGTGTGTGTGAGACAGTATCGTTAACGTTCATTTTAGTGGCAATTATTTTCTTAATATATTTATCCTGATGGTGGTAGTAGTGGTGTTTGTAATGGTGATAATAGTGGTTAGTAGTAGTAGTAGTAATAGTAGGAGTAGTATGGTCGATAATATTTTGGGATGAAGTAGATAATAATGGTAATAGGGATGGTGGTGGTGGTGGTAGGTGGGGGTAAGGGGGGGGGGTGGCCAAACCTCTGTCGTCAGTACGTCTCGATCAATGGCCGATATCCGGGTTTACCTCTCTCTCTCTCTCTCTCTCTCTCCTCTCAGGAGTAATAAGTGTTATCAGCAGGTGAGTGAGCTTGACCGTGTGTGTGGTAGAGTCACAAGGGGGTGAATGTGACATGCAGGGAGACACTCACATTCTCCAAGTGTATCCTTATGTCCTCACGTTCAATGGTCTTCACGAGCATACAACATTCAGTCGGGGCACTACGACCTCCTCTTCCTCCTCCTCCTCCTCCTCCTTTTCATTCCTTCTCTTCCTTTCCACCTCCCCTTTTCCTCCCTTTCCACCTCCCCTTTTCCTCCCTTTCCACCTCCCCTTTTCCTCCCTTTCCACCTCCCCTTTCCTCCCTTTCCACCTCCCTTCCCCCTTTCCACCTCCCCTTTTCCTTCCTTTCCACCTCCTTTTCCTCCCTTTCATCTTCCTTTTCCACCTTTTTTTTTCTTCTTCTCTTCCTCCTCCACAACAAAGCAACATCACAATGCGGTACACCACCTCGAAAAAAACAACAACAATATACTGATTAGTGTGTGTGTGTGTGTGCGTGTGCGTGTGTGTGTGTGTGTGTGTGTGTGTGTGCGCGTGTGTGTGTGTTTGATAACGTCGAGTGGTGATGGTGGTAGTGGTGATAGTACAGGAGGAAACAAGGTGGTGGTGTAGTTAATTATTTTTAGAGACAGACAGAGAACGAAAAGAGAGAGATGAGAGAGATAATAAAGAAAGGTGGAATGGAAGAAGATAAGAGGAAGGAAAAAGGGTTAAATACAAACTTGAGAAATTTAACAAGTGGTGAAGAATAAATTAGTAGTAGTTAGTGGAATGAATGATCACCTTGTTGCTGACTCACTAAGCTAATACTTGTATAGTACAGGGAGGGTGAACTTCTGTATTGGGCTCATTGTTGTAGGTAATGTAGAAAGCTGTTTGGTTAGGTTAAGTTTGGTTAGGTTTGGTTAGGTTAGGTTAGGTTAGTTTGGGTTAGGTTTGGTTAGGTTAGGTTTGGTTAGGTTGGTTGGGTTAGGTTTGGTTTGGTTGGGTTTGGTTAGGTTTGGTTAGGTTAAGTTTGGTTAGGTTTGGTTAGGTTGGCTGCCCACTTTGTCGTCACTTGCACCACATTATCCCATATACGAGTGTGGTTTTGTGGTGGTGGTGTGGTAGTAGTGGTGATGAAGGTACCTGGGTCGTGTTGGTGGTGGTGATGGGGGAGATAGCAGGGTCGTGTTGGTGGTGGAGATGGGGGAATGCAGAGGTCGTGTTGGTGGTGGAGATGGGGAATGGGGTCGTGTTGGTGGTGGAGATGGGGAGATAGCAGGGTCGTGTTGATGGTGGAGATGGGAGAGATGCGGGGTCGTGGTGGTGGTGGAGATGGGGGAGATAGCAGGGTCGTGTTGATGGTGGAGATGGGGGAGATACGGGGTCGTGGTGGAGATGGGAGATAGCACAGGGTCGTGTTGGTGGTGGAGATGGGAGATAGCAGGGTCGTAGTGGAGATGAAGATTGTGGAGGTAGGGTTGCATGATAGTGGTGGTGGAGGTAGCAAGATCGTGTTGGAGTTAGTGGTGTTGGAGATAGTGGTGGTGGTGGAGGAGGAGGAGAAGCAGCAAGGGGAGGGAGGCAGTGTAGATGGGGAAGAGCGGTGGTGTAAAGTTAGCTGTCGGTCGCCATGGTAACGCTGGAGACGACAACAAGAAGTGTCACAGCTTCCCGTGTGTGCCCTAATTGGTCTTCAGGGGGGGTGAGGGAACTGTTGGAGGGAGATGGAGGGGGTGGAAAGGGGAGGTGGATGGAGGGAAGGGGAGGTGGAGGGAGGGAAGGAAGGGGAGAGGGAGGAACGGAAATGTGGAAAAATGAGGTGAAAGGAAGGAGGAACTGTGGGAAGGGAAGGAGGGGGAGGAGCTAGTATGAAGGGGCAGCTAGAACAGAGGAGGGACCCTCCTCCTCTCTCTCCCTCTCTCTCTCTCTCTCTCTCTCTCTCTCTCTCTCGTTATAGAGCCAGACGCGTCATGAGTGTTCAGATAAACATGTTCCCTCGGCGGCCTTCCCACCCACGTCTGTGTGTCTCTGTAAACTACGTGTGTCCTATACTGTGAGAGAGAGAGAGAGAGAAAAAAGAGAGAGAGAGAGAGAACATAATAATCACCTCTCATTTGGCTGGCTGGGCGCACGAGGTAGGCGTGGGCGTGAGGTAGTCGTGGGCGTAAGATAAAGAGCGCTAATACTATAATCATCTCGTAAATATAACAATTATTACTTTATTTATGTTGTGTTGTTGTACGTGGCGGCCAGTGTTGATGACAGTAAAGGTTGATGACTAAATATTATTGTTGTTATTAGGTTTTTGTTATTTTATTTGTTATTGTTGATTATTAGTTGTTATTATTTTTTTTATTTGATGGGTTACTTTATGGTGCTATTATTATTATTATTCCTAGGATTGTCGTTATTCTTATTGTTTTATTATTATTATTATATGGTATTAATTCACCTCTTGTACCTAAGGTGTATCATTAATTAACCTGGTGTACCTGTGTTGCATCCTTATTTAACCAGGTGTACCTGTGTTGCATCATAAATTAACCAGGTGTACCTAAGGTGTATCATTAATTAACCTGGTGTACCTGTGTTGCAGGGTGTGGTGTACCATTACCTGGGCAGTGATCGGCTGGCGGAAAAGACCCTGATGGACGCTATCAAGGTGGACCCCTACGACCACCACGCATGGTAAGGTGCCCCCCGCCCTCTGTTGTGTGGTAGATGAAAGAGACAGATAGATATAATACAACAGATAGAGAAACAGAGATAGATAGAGATAGATAGAGATACGTAAAGAAGATGAGATTAAGAGACAGAGGCGGATAGATGGATAAGAAGGGAGAGAAGCAATGGGGTAAGGAGGAGGCAATATGTACACAGAACGGGATAACAGAGGTGTAGTAACGGTGTGGTGACAGGGTGTGGTAACGGTGTAGCAACAGGGTGTGGTAACAGGGTGTAGCAACAGGGTGTAACAGTGTGGTGACAGGGTGTGAACGGGTGTAGCAACAGGGTGTGATAACGGTGTAGCAACAGGGCGTGGTAACGGTGTGGTAACAGAGGCGTAGCAACAGGGCGTGGTAACAGAGGCGTAGCAACAGGGCGTGTGTAGAGGCGTAGCAACAGGGGCGTGGCAACAGGGTGTGGTAACAGGGCGTGTGTACGGTGTGGAAACGGAAGGAAGTGTGGTTAGCAGAGGGTGTGGTAACTGAGGACGAGGCAACAGAGAGTGTGGTAATAGGGGGCGTGGCAGCAGAGGGCGTGGCAGCAGGCGTGGAGCGGGGCGCGGGTCTCTTGGTGGTGGTTCATTACGTCCAGGCCGGCAGGATTAATATGTCTCACAGGGACCCATGCCACCCATGACACCCCCACGCCACCCATGACACCCCCACGCCACCCATGACACCCCCGCCACCATGACACCCCCACGCCACCCATGACACCCCTTCCACGCCACCCATGACACCCTCCACGCCACCCATGACACCCCCGCCACCCAGCACCTCCACCCACCAGACACCCCACGACCCGACACCCCACACCGCACCCCCACGCCACCATGACACCCCACACCCACCCACCCAACCCCCCCACCCATGACACCCCCACGCCACCCATGACACCCTCCATGCCACCCATGACATCCCCACGCCACCCATGACACCCCTCCCGCCACCCATGACACCCCGCCACCCAGACACCCCCACGCCACCCATGACACCCCCACGCCACCCATGACACCCCCCACGCCACCCATGACCCCCACCACGCCATCTACAATGTGTCATGATGATAGGGTGGGTGTTAGAATGTGTTAGTATCTTAATGGTGTTAGAGTAGTCGTTAGTGGTGTTAGTTGTGTTAGAGTAGTCGTTAGTGGTGTTAGTTGTTGTTAGAGTGGTCGTTAGTGGTGTTAGTTGTGTTAGAGTGGTCGATAGTGGTGTTAGTTGTGTTAGAGTGGTCGATAGTGGTGTTAGTTGTGTTATAGTGGTCGTTAGTGGTGTTAGTTGTGTTAGAGTAGTCGTTAGTGGTGTTAGTTGTGTTAGAGTAGTCGATAATGGTGTTCGTTGTGTTAGAGTGGTCGTTAGTGGTGTTAGTTGTGTTAGAGTAGTCGTTAGTGGTGTTAGTTGTGTTAGAGTAGTCGTTAGTGGTGTTAGCTGTGTTAGAGTGGTCGTTAGTGGTGTTAGTTGTGTTAGAGTAGTCGTTAGTGGTGTTAGTTGTGTTAGAGTGGTCGTTAGTGGTGTTAGTTGTGTTACGGTAGTCGTTAGTGGTGTTAGTTGTGTTAGAGTGGTCGTTAGTGGTGTTAGTTGTGTTGAGTAGTCGATAGTGGTGTTAGTTGTGTTGTTGTAGTGGTCGTTAGTGGTGTTAGTTGTGTTAGAGTAGTCGATAGTGGTGTTGTTAGTTGTGTTGTAGTGGTCGTTAGTGGTTTGGTTGTGTTAAGAGTAGTCGATAGTGGTGTTGGTTAGTGTTGTAGTGGTCGTTAGTGGTGTTAGTTGTGTTAGAGTAGTCGATAGTGGTGTTAGTTGTGTTGTAGTGGTCGTTAGTGGTGTTAGTTGTGTTAGAGTAGTCGATAGTGGTGTTAGTTGTGTTAGAGTAGTCGATAGTGGTGTTAGTTGTGTTAGAGTAGTCGATAGTGGTGTTAGTTGTGTTGTAGTGGTCGTTAGTGGTGTTAGTTGTGTTAGAGTAGTCGATAGTGGTGTTTGTTGTGTTGTAGTGGTCGTTAGTGGTGTTAGTTATGTTATAGTGGTCGTTAGTGATGTTAGTTGTGTTATAGTGGTCGTTAGTGGTGTTAGTTGTGTTGTAGTGGTCGTTAGTGGTGTTAGTTGTGTTATTGTGGTCGTTAGTGATGTTAGTTGTGTTATAGTGGTCGTTAGTGGTGTTAGTTGTGTTGTAGTGGTCGTTAGTGGTGTTAGTTGTGTTATAGTGGTCGTTAGTGGTGTTAGTTGTGTTATAGTGGTCGATAGTGGTGTTAGTTGTGTTATAGTGGTCGTTAGTGGTGTTAGTTGTGTTATAGTGGTCGTTAGTGGTGTTAGTTGTGTTATTGTGGTCGTTAGTGGTGTTAGTTGTGTTATAGTGGTCGTTAGTTGTGTTAGAGTAGTTGTTAGTGGTGTTAAAATATTTGTTAGTGGCGTTAAAGTAGTCGCTGGTGGTGTTAGTTGTGTTATAGTGGTCGTTAGTGATGTTAAAATAGTTGTTAGTGGTGTTATAGTAGTCGTTAATGGCGTTATAGTAGTCGTTAATGGCGTTATAGTAGTCGTTAATGGCGTTATAGTAGTCGTTAGTGGTGTTATAGTCGTCGTTAGTGGCGTTAGAATAGTCGTTAGTGGTGTTATAGTAGTCGTTAATGGCGTTATAGTAGTCGTTAGTGGCGTTATAGTAGTCGTTAGTGGCGTTAGTGGTGTTATAGTAGGGTCTGGTAGGGGCTGCGTCTGGCCGGCCGTACCAACAGGTGTGCTCCCCATCAAATCACCGTCAGATTTTATTACTGGGGCACAGGTGTGTTTTGGGGAGGCCAGAGCCGGGGTTTACGTGGACTTGACGTGGGTGGCCAGAGAGGAAGTTTAATGGGGTTTGGTGTGGGTGGGTGGGGGGTAGGAGCGACGTGGGTGGCCAGAGAGGAAGTTTAATGGGTTTGGTGTGGGTGAGCAGTGGGGGGAAGGAGGCTTGACGTGGTGGGTGGAGGAGGAAGGTTGCAGTGGTGGGTGAGGGCGATAGGTGGTGGTCGGGGTGGGTGGTGGTGGACGGGGGTGGGTGGTGGTGGTCGGCATGAGGGCTAGGGTGGTCATCATCGTCAGTGCAGTATCCCTCTACGGCTTCTTGCGGTAGATGCCACCACCTTCCTTCCCTCCCCCTCATCCTCCCCTTGCCTCATCATTTCACCCCCCACCCCTCTTTCTCCCCTCACCTCAGTCCCTCCCTCTCACCCTCTGCATGTAGTGACGCAGCCTTGGGGGTGGAGGTAGTAGTAGTAGTGATGAATGACAGGTACTTAACACAGGTGTAATGAATAATAAATTACAGGTGGAAGAGTATGGTGATGGCGTGGGCAGGTGTAAGAGGTGATAGTGAAGGTGATGGTGTGGGACAGGTGTTGGTGGGGGGGGGGGAGGGTGACAGTGGCAGGTGTGGCACTTGATAATTAGGGGAGACTTGGAAGGTGGAGGTGTAAGCTTGCTTTTGTGTATAGGGAGGGAGGGAAGGTTAGGCTAGGTTGGGTTAGGTTAGGTTTAAGTTAGGCAGGTATAGTTAAATTAGCGTTTGGTTAGAGCAGGTTAGGGTTAGGTTAGGTTTAAGTTAGGCAGGTATAGTTAAATTAGCGTTTGGTTATATCAGGTTAGGGTTAGGTTAGGTTTGAGTTGGGTTAGGTTAGGATTAGAGTATTTAATCACGAAGGCAGAATAAGCTGGGGTCAGAGGTTAATCTTGACGTGATCGTCCGCCACAAATATAACCCGATCAACACCGAGACGCACTGAACATGATACTGCGGCACTAAGCTACACTGTCCTACCTATGTGTCAGGTTAGGTTAGGTTAGAATAGGTTAGGTTTGGTTAGTGGTTTGGTTTGGTTTGGTTAGGTTAGGTTTGGTTAGGTTTGGTTGGGTTAGGTTAGGTTTGGTTTGGTTAGGTTAGGTTTGTTGGTTAGGTTAGAATAGGTTAGGTTTGGTTTGGTTTGGTTAGGTTAGGTTGGTTTGGTTTGGTTTGGTTTGGTTTGGTTTGGTTAGGTTAGGTTTTGTTGGTTAGGTTAGAATAGATTAGATTAGGTTAGGTTTGGTTAGAATAGGTTAGGTTTGTTTAGGTTAGGTTAGATTAGGTTTGGTTGTGCCACAGTTTTACTATTTAAATTGTCTTTCAGTTCATTAATGTGTCTTATATATACAACTTTCTTACTTGTGATATTTTTACTAATTTTTTTTTCCATGACCCGGTAGCTACTTTTTCTTTGATGTGTAATTGAGTGTGAGGGCAGGTAGTGTGGTATGACGGCCAGGTGTGGTGGTGGTATGACGGCCAGGTGTGGTGGTGGTATGACGGCCAGGTGTGGTAGTGGTATGACGGCCAGGTGTGGTGGTGGTATGACGGCCAGGTGTGGTAGTGGTATGACGGCCAGGTGTGGTAGTGGTATGACGGCCAGGTGTGGTAGTGTGGTATGACGGCCAGGTGTGGCAGTGGTATGACGGCCAGGTGTGGTAGTGGGGAGTAAGTCAAACGTGGCGATCTTCTTCCTAAGACTTATGATATTCCTCTCCCTTTCATAACGATATGGTGGTGGTGGTGTGGTAGTGACGGTGGTGTGGTAGTGATGGTGGTGGTGTGTGATAGTGATGGTGGTGTGGTAGTAATGGTGGTGGTGTGAGTGGTGGTGTGGTGGTGATTAGTGGTGTGGTAGTGATGGTGGTGGTGTGGTAGTGATGGTGGTGTGGTAGTGATGGTGGTGTGGTAGTGATGGTGGTGGTGTGTGGTAATGGTGGTGGTGTGATAGTGATGGTGGTGTGGTAGTGATGGTGGTGTGTGTGATGGTGGTGTGGTAGTGATGGTGGTGTGGTAGTAATGGTGGTGGTGTGGTAGTGATGGTGTGTGGTGACCGGTGGTGGTGTGGAGTAGTAATGGTGGTGGTAGTGATCGGAAGGAAAGGTTCGCTACCACCAGGCCACTAAGTGTACTGCAGGCCACACACACACACACAC